AGTGTATATAATATGGTAATTTCATGGAAAAAAATACATGGTGTGAGCCACCCTTGCTACACAGCCCAGCGGGTTCCCTCTGCATTTATATATTTTTGTTTGTTTGTTTGTTTTAAGTAGGCTACAAACCCAGCATGGAGCCCAAGGCAGGGCTTGAACTCACAACCTTGAGATCTTGACCTGAGTTAAGATCGCCAAGGCGCTGCTCAACTGATTGAGCCACCCAGGCACCACAGGGCCCAGATTTAAACCAGAAGTCTAGGTCAGCTTTCTCCCAATTTTATTTTGCCCACTCTGTCATTAATAAAACGTCACTTTTATTTTGACGTCTTCTTCCTGTTTTCTATTCCCTTCTCCTAATTTCTTCATTTATAAATTTTTCTCACTGACACTGACTCAGAAGTCATGAATGTTAGGACAGAAAAATTTAAAACATGCACATAAAGATATATATTAAACATGGATCCTTCCACTCTCAGAAGAGTACAGGTCTTGGTCGTGTGGCCTGGGAGGGAGTGGCTCGCTCTGGAACCTGTGTGGCTGGCTTTCTTTTCATCTCCCGCTCATCCTCAGAGAGAACCTGATTTCATGGAACCCATTCCTTCAACATGGGAGCTAAGCCCTTCAGGTAAAAAACCCTGCAAACGAGTTGCGGCTAATAGGTCTCATCACACATTTGAACAAATAAAACTATGAGGTTCATCAAAGGTCTTATAAAAATATGAAATGCCCACAACCACTCTCTGCAGCAGACTCAGAGTATCAGAGTTGAGAAATGGTGTAATAATATATATTATATATTAAGATATATTTTACAGTCAACAAACAATTCTGATCCTCGCCCAAGGTTGAGAATACCAGAACTACCATCACTTTGTATGGTTGTACTTCAGGGAGAAGAAATCCTAGGATAGGAATACTTTTCACCATATTACAGTTGAGGAAATGTGTAAATGCAGCCCCGCCCAACCTAGTTTGCTCGGGCTTTCTAACATTAGCTGTCTCCAGGCATTTGGGGACATCGCTCCTGGTCTGGAGCAGAGAGCTGTTCTCACCACTGGCTGAGGGATCTCACTGCATTCTAAAGCGTCAATGAATTTCTCTTTCCTAGCCACCCAACCTTTTCTCTGGTATGAATATCCACTGTCTTATTCACTTCCTCTAAATGTCTCTCCCACTGGCTTACCTGTGGCCCGTAACTTACACTGTATCTCTCTCCTTCGTCTTCTAGAAACGTGTTCTTTCTTTCTCCTTTCAGTCCAAACATTTTACTGAAAGTTTTTGTCCCTTGCACTTCCTTGGCCTGCTGTCCTTGGGTGGGCTTGCTCCTATAAACGTTCTTAATTTATTTTGACCTACTAAAAAAAAAAGTTCTTTGGACAGAGAATTTCTAACATTATCCTTTCCGATACATTTATTTGTTTCGAAGTTTTTATAAATGTCTGTAATTGAATTTGATTTTCCAAATTCCCTTGAATACTCTCTTAATCACACGCGCGCGCGCGCAAAGCACCAAGAAAGTATTTTGCATTTGTTTTAATGGTGAAACTGCGATTCCAAACATCCACAAAGGAAAGACCATTAGCTGTTACATTCGTATTTAAAACAGACACTTTAGGGGCGCCTGGGGGGCTCAGTCGGTTAAGCTTCTGACTTCTCAGGTCCTGATCTCAAGGTCCGTGAATTCAAGCCCCAAGTCAGGCTCTGTGCTGACAGCTCGAAGCCTGGAACCTGCTTCGGATTCTGTGTCTCCCTCTCTCTCTGCCCCTCCCCCGTTCATGCTCTGTCTCTCTCTGTCTCAAAAATAAATAAACATTAAAAAAAAAAAAAAAAGATGCTTTCTCCTGCACACATTGTCAAGCTCCTTTGGCAATATCAAAGTTGGTTGGTTATTGACTGTTTTATGAAAATGACATTGTAAATTCAGGACATTTAATCAACCCCATGGAGTAAGGTTAACTGATGAGACTGGGGTTTATACAAATATTGGTACTTACCCAACCCACCCCCACCTCACCCCACCTCGCCCCACCAGGAGTACACAGAAGGCTCCAAAATTCTTTTGTAGAATCTTTGGATCAAAAGCTAGACTTTCATGTTTAAAAAATAGCCATACTTTCAAAAAATAAAACAAGCAAAAAACCCCCACTAACAATACTTTCTACCCAAATCTGGTGAAAAAAATAGTTCATAGGTGTTTTAAGGCTACTCATCCCCAAATTTCTCCCTTAATGATAAAGAGAATAAACAGAAACGTGAATTCATTAGTTAGAAATTTGTTTGACAGAAAAAAAGTCCTTAAGTTAAAAAATACACCCCAAGAAAACACGTCCAAATATTTATGAAACAACTACAGGGATATGGCAAAATCTGAAATATTAAAATAGATTCCGTCCTCACTGCAGGAAACATCAGAGGTTGTTGCCATCAGGAGCACCTCACAAAGTTGGGAACGATGCCCCACCGCATGTTCTCTTGAGTCACAAACAGGTACTGTGTAGAGGTTATGAGCTTGACTCTGAGCCAGACTAGCTACGGTAAAAATCCAGCCCAATAATTTTCTAGCTGTGTAACCTTTAGCAAGTTATTTAACCTCTCTGTGCCTTGGTTTCCATACAGCAAAATAAGGGTAATGAAATAGTCATTCCTACCTTACCGGCTTCTTCAGAAACATTAGTATGCAGAACAAGACCTGACGTCTGGTTGGTATGTAATAATTATTAGCTGAGAGAAAAGAAAGTTCTGCTTAAAAGACACCGTATGTGTCTCTCACGCACAAGTGAACACTGGAAAGAATCACGCAGAAAGAGAATGCAAGAAATACCAGGATGCACCCAAGCCAAGCAACATACACCTACAGGATGTCAAGTCAAGGAGGCTTTGCAACGAAATTGTCACCCCCCAAAATTAATATTGAATTGACATTCTGCCTGTTAACACTGGTTCCAAAAGACAAATGAAAACAATGATGACCCAACGTCTACAGAGGGAAATCAAAACCTCGAAATATCTGTCCATAGATATGAAAATCTTAAATGTTTAAAGTCATGCATTCTTGGGTTCTAGTCCTTACTAGAGGGTGGTTAGAAAAAATATATAGCTTTAAAATGTTAACTTGTAAGACTTTCCCAGCATTTCAGAGCTGTTATGTTTTTAAACGTGTATCCGTGTGTACATGAAGAATGCTCTGTAGTGCATCAAGTATTCCCAGCACCCTAAGACTATGTTAGTAAAACACAGCGAGAGTTTTTGCCCTTGACCTCCCAGCAGGTCTTAACCAGCTGTGGCACGTTGCCTTGAGAGATTACCAAAGATCCTTTTCTGTTCTGTTCCCAGTTCAGGTAGCTCAACGGTGCCCTGTGGGCAAACACCTGGTGACTAGTTTATTTCCTCAAATTTTCAGGGGCTCTTCTCCACACACGGGGTCAAGCGCCCACCTCTTCTCCCTGGATCCTGGGCCCTGCGCCCAAATCCCGGCCCCAGCTCTCAACGGTCACATGACCACCGTGACACTTTTGATCACAGCCACCAGGTGGCACCCTTCTCCACACTACCGCGCTTTGGAGGCGGTTTTGCCAGAGGTGATCTACAAGATTCAGAATGTAAAATGTTAATCCTGATTTTTCAAATGTAGTCGACCTTACGACTTGATGAACAAGGGCAGAAAAATTAAGCTAAGACACACGGAGAGGAATCGGAGGTTTGTAACTTCCGTTATAACAAGAAAAGTAACAGACCAGTCGCCAATGGTCCGCAACACGGGCCACTGTGAAGGCTAGGGTGTTCCTTGTAATCCCAGTCTGTGTGAAATAAAACCAGTATAAAACAAGCCATTGCCTCATTAATTGTAACATATCCTTCATGGGCTAGAAAAGCATGGGAAGCTTTTGGGCGGTCTGTTCTGAGTACGGAAGGATATCCACAGAGAAAGAACTTGTCAGAGAGAGAATTTTGCATTAAAAAATGCAAAAACATTGAAAGCAGCATCAATGTCCCACAAATGATTAAGTTGATGAATCCATAAGATGGATAAGCACGTCAGAAAAATCAGGCAGCACACCATGCAATTCACGTATGTTTATTAAAATGCATTTGTTACTTTTATATGTTTTAATATAGCAACACTGAGAGGAAGTATACAGGTCGTTAATTGGGTTTACCACTCGCCAGTGGAATGACAGTGTCACCTTTTCTACAGTGAGCACAGATTATGCGTGCTTTTTATCTACTTAATTTTCGTAACCAGAAAAGAAGAAAAGTTAAAAAAAAAAATCGAGATCTCTTTGCCCAAATTCAATACCTACCAAACAAACTGTCGAGCTTTATTTGGTCTTTAAATTTTTTTTTTTTTACGTTTATTTATTTTTGAGACAGAGAGAGACAGAGCACGAGTGGGGGAGGGTCAGGGAGAGAGGGAGACACAGAATCTGAAACAGGCTCCAGGCTCTGAGCTGTCAGCACAGAGCCCGCTGCGGGGCTCAAACTCACGGACCGGGAGATCATGACCTGAGCCCAAGTCGGCCACTTAACCGACTGAGCCCCCCAGGCGCCCCAGGTCAGTTTCTTTTTTAACGTGCACAGTTGGGGAGGAGGAAGATGCCAGGGTACCTCCAGGTTGCGTGGTGGTTTCCGTTTTAACATCTTCAAAACAAATTTTTTTTTAATGTTTATGTATTTTGAGAAAGACAGTGCGCAAGGGTGGGGGGCAGGGAGAGGGGAAGAGAGAGAATCCCAAGCAGGCTCCGTGCTGTCAGCCCCGGGTCCGACGTGGGGCTTGAACTCCCAAACCACAAGATCATGACCTGAGCCGAAACCAAGAGTCAGACGCTTAACCCACCGGCCCCCCCCATTTTTGCCATCCTTCATATGACAAGCGTTGCTCCGGTTCTTGGGGGGGAAATGCCACCGGCATTGTGACTCTGGTGGCCCCGGCAGAGGGCAAACACTGTGAGGTCCAACACGGCGACAGGCTGACACCAGCAATGACAGCCCTGACCTGGGGGCCCGGGAGCGATGCCAGACAGAGCAGGTGGGGGGTGGAGTGCTTTCCCCAGAGACTTTGAAAGGAAACGTGGTTGAGATGATTTTCTGCTGTTACCCCTTAATTTCCATCCAGCTCACTGAGAGTAAAGACACCCAGACAGACAGGAAGAGCCGTCCCCCCGCCCCCCTCTCCATTTCCTGGGCGCCGTCTAAACCGCCTGAATGCACTGGTGCGGGACAGGGATCAGAATCCGACAGAGGCTGAAACCTGCCTCTCTCCCTGGCAGCCCGGGGATACATTTACTTCGTCTAAAAAAATATGAGGATAATAGTACTAACATGAAACAAATATTGTAAGAATTGTATGAGATAACGCGCGTCAGTAGGTCTCAGAACTCAGTCTGGCAGCAAGTAAATCCCCCACGTATCCTCTTCCTCCTCCTCCTCCTTATTTTCATTTTCATTATCACTTCATAGCATCTGAGACCAAGTGGGAAATTACCGTGTTCCTTCAACTCCGGCATATCCCAGAGGCATCGTAGACGCCTTCACGTAAATCATTCCTATACAGAAACCTATATGACACTTTTTTGCCAATTAGAAAAAAGATGCCCCTCGTCAAGACACTTCCCACCCACTTTCTGGAAAACTATCACAGGACACAAACATCCACGCCTGAGAGCCCTTCTGGGAAATGGGCCTCCTTGGGTTGTACAGTGCACGGCCTTCACGGCTGTACAATGACCCACTTCAACCTCTGGTGGAAAAGACCACAGGGCTTGGTGGCAGGTGAATTGCTGGATAACAGAGAGGGCGGGGGGTCAAAAGGAAACTTGGATGGGTCTAGAAAATGCCGGGATGTGTGTGCAAAATTCTGGTAAGGGTATGAGACTCCCACGTCCCAAGGAGAAAGTTCACGGTTTTTCTCAGATGTTGAAAGGAACTGTGAGCCCCCCAACATTTTAGGAGCCCTATTCCAGAGGTGGGAGAGGAGAGGCCATAGGTATATGGAGTCCGAAGTGGTGCAGAAAATAAGGCAGACCCTAGAGGCGGCTGGAGGTTCCTGACAGCCGTTTCCGGAGAGGCGCAGGAACTCAAAAACCTAAATGAGAGAAACTTTTCGAGAATGAATGGGGAAGGCTGCAAGCAGAGAGTTCCTCGGTGGCTTCCTACTTGTTAGGTCCGACTCAGTCCTGGAAGCAAAGAAGGCCCCAGGGTGCCCTCTCTTTCAGTCTCCACGTCTCCTCCCAAGAGAGGTCCCAGGCTGCCTGTCACTCACATTCGGCCAACACGTAGTCCCCCATGGCTCCTCCTGGAGAGAGGAGAGACAGGAGAGGGGCGTGCTGTCACCTCCCTGGCCCTCACCTCCCTCATCCACTCACCTCAACCGGGACCACTCCCTGCCGGAAGAGCCCCCCGGGGGTTCACACACCATCAGCTCTCACCGGGAGTTGCTTACCAGCTTTCTAGCCCGTGTCCTCCTTTGCCTTCCCTCTCACCTCCTGACACTCCTCCAACTGTGAGATCGCGGACCCCCTACTGTCCCTGCACTGACTTCCCCGGGGGTCTCCTTGTAGAACATTCTCAAGGCCCCCAGGGCTCTGCGGC